ACCTTGAAACTTCATTGTAAGTATCATCATCCTATATCAATGCTTCCAACCTTCGAGGGGTGATGTTGTTCCTTCAAAATTGTGCCGCAAGACCTTCGAACGATGAATTTGGTCTTTTATACCACCTTCAAAGCTTGTTATTGATCATCTAGTCATAATTTCATACTTATTCGAAGCACTTTATTAGTGTTATTATATCATTCGAAGTACTTTATTGGTGCTATTACATCATTCGAAGCACTTTATTGGTGCTATTATATCATTCGAAGCACTTTGTTGATATTATTCGAAATATTTTATTGCTTAGATTAGTTATGTGCTTGGTTCGGCCCTTCAAAAATTCGAGTAAATATCATTTTTAAGGGCCGTGGGGGGTAATGTTGGCACCATAAAATATTATTATTATTATTATTTTCAAGACACGTGGCATCCTCTTATTCAGTTGGAAGTTAAAAGAAGTTATAGAGATGATGGAGAATATGAGGGACAGAGTGGATGAGCGGAAGGACACATGGCAAGACAAGAATAAAGATGGAAGAAATGGGTAGTTACTAAGTAGTTATTACTGTATTTTTTCCTCTATAAATAGCCATTAATGGCTACATTGTAAAAGATCCAGAATTGAAATCAAAGACAACTGATTTTAATATTTCTTGTCACTTTCCTTATCTTAGAAGTAGTTTAACATAGATTTATATTTCGAAACATTTATTTTCAGCATTTTCATTTCAAAGCATTTTATGCACTTCCTTTTCGAAGTATAAGAGTAGAGGTAAGTAATTATTACTTTGATTGTTCACTCAATCGTCTTTCTCCGTCTCCCTCATTCTTCTTTTAATTTTTCTTTTTTCTACACTTGACAATTTTGAAGTCCTCTTTGTTGAGGCAAAAGAACCATCAACGCAATCGCTTGATAATTGGCTTGAATTTAATCTGTAAGGATTTTTCAATCCTTGCTGGCACGCTCGCATTTATGATATTTTCCTTCGTAGGAAAAATAAGCCAACACAAATACAACATTTGTTAGAAATCAAAATAACTCTATGTATGTTGTATTGGAGAGTCTCCATCTCCTATATGTATTAATTTAAAGAAATGGTCATCTCATTAACGAGAACTAGTCAAAAACAAAAATTTCTCTGGGTTAAGATCCTCTATCCCAACATCGATGGGACACTATTCTAACGGTTTCCATGAATTTTTTTTCTTGGGTCTTATTGATCTATTTTGAGATCCTTTTCTTTACTTTGAATTTGGGTTTTGGGTCATGGCCTAGGTTTGAAATTGTTTCTTTGGTCTAAAATTTTCTGATTTGTATGATAAGAGAAGAGATAAAGAAAAAACATCCCAGAAAAATAAATAAATAAAGGGGGAGGGAGGAAAAGGAACAAAATCGGTATAGTAGAGAACTAGGTTTTTTCAATAAGATGAAGCTCGTAAATAGAGTAAACAATTCCGAGGGTTAGATGAGGTAGTAAGGCAATGGCTTTCGTGGTCAAAGGTCTTGAGTTCGAAATCTATATCAATCTTCTTATAGTCTTTGACTGAAATTGGAAGATGAGGGGTGGGTTTCTCGATATCCTCTCCGAGTTGGCTTGTAAGATCGGGTCATAAATGGACCTGGTCTAAAAGTTTTAGGTCAAAAAAATTAAAAAAATAAATAAATAAATAAATGGGGTAAACTTGGCCTTTTTTTGACATGTGTCAATCTACAAATGATAGGATAAAAAATTTGGATTGGAATTTGAGAGAAAAGATCCTGGCCCCATGTACTCCTAACCTTGCTTGAGTTTTTTTTTTTTTTAAATATTCCAAAAATTTTTAAATATGTTGTGAATCTTAAAAAAAATAAAAATAAAAGATAAAAAGAGATTGAATGTATATTTAGTTTTAGTTATGAATCTTTAAAAAAAATAAAATAAAATAAAATAAATTGTGAACCTTAAAAAAAAATTAAAAAAATAAAAGAAAAAGATTGAATGTTTATTTAGCTTTGGCTGTGAATCTAAAAAAAAAAAAAAAAAATGGTCAAGTTGGGTTGGGGAATATCCAAACCCATTAGGAGATGGGGAGGGTGGTTGGAGAATATCCAAACCCATTAGGAGATGGGTAGGGTAGTACCCATGGAAAATGGGGAATGGGGAATGGAGAAAAATAATTATAGGAGAATGGGGATGGAGAATTAATACCCACCCCATTAACCCCCATTGCCATCCCTAGGTCTTATTGATCTATTTTGAGATCCTTTTCTTTACTTCGAATTTGGGTTTTGGGTCATGGCCTAGGTTTGAAATTGTTTCTTTGGTCTAAAATTTTCTCATTTGTGTTTAAATCAGTATGATAAGAGAAGAGATAAAGAAAAAACATCCCAGAAAAATAAATAAATAAAGGGAGAGGGAGGAAAAGGAACAGAATCGGTACAGTAGAGAACTAGGTTTTTTCAATAAGATGAAGCTTGTAAATAGAGTAAACAATTCCGAGGGTTAGATGAGTTAGTAAGGCAACGGCTTTCGTGATCAAAGGTCTTGAGTTCGAAATCTATATCAATCTTCTTATAGTCTTTGACTGAAATTGGAAGATTAGGGGTGGGTTTCTCGATATCCTCTCTGAGTTGGCTTGTAAGATCGGGTCCTAAATGGACCCAGTCTGAAAGTTTTAGGTCAAAAAAAAATTAAAATAAATAAATAAATGGGGTAAACTTGGCCTTTTTTTGACACGTGTCGATCTACAAATGATAGGATAAAAAATTTGGATTGGAATTTGGAAGAAAAAATCCTAGCCCCATGTACTCCTAACCTTGCTTGAGTTTTTTTTTTTTAAATATTCCAAAAAAAAAATTAATTAAAGAATTAATCTACTTTTCAAATTATTTAGGAAACTAATCTACTTTCTGAAATCGCATTTTCAGAATGTAATTTTAAAATTGAAATTGCATCTTGAACATGCAATTTCATTTTAAAATTACAAGTTAAAAATGATGACATGGTGAAATTACATTAAAATCGTATTTTCAAAATGTAGTTTTAAAAACAGGTTAATTTTTCAAATAATTTAAAAAGCGAGTCAATTCTCTAAATAATTTTTTTTTTTTTAAATATTTAAAAAAAAAAAACTCAACCTTGCTTAGCATTGCTTGGATAAAAATAATCATGTAGTACCCTGGGATGGGACCCCCAAGGTTGTTGACTAAAGTTATCTACCTTGGATCTTTTCACCGTTCGGTCTTTTCACCTAGAGAAGGATCTCTTTTGTTAAATCAGCCACCGCATGTTGACTTCTACGATCCTCTTTTTCGCTAATTAAATTTTATTTAAAATATAGATTCTCATAACTTTTAAGATATTATCTATCTAATCACATAATAAATCCCTTCATGTTAATTAAATATTAAATTAATTTAACAAAGTGTATGACATGAGTAATAATTTAAAAAATATATATTTACATTAACATTTATAAAGTCAAAAACTTCTATTTCTTTTTTCTTTTTCCCACCTCACCTTCCTTATTTTTAATTTTTCCTCAACAAGTAAAATAATTTTGCCCAATCATTGTACCACCCTCTCACTCTCGATTTAACACTAACGTCATTATTGTTTATAAACAACATTCGGTGAGTCACGAAAGAGGGTTAAAAATTATTGTAATGGTGTAAAGAGATGAAAGTGTGGATGAAAATGGAAGTAGTATAATAATTTCATTTTGGTATTAAAGAATGTTTAGGTTTTTTTTTCTTTTTTCTTTTTTCCGTTAGGCCAATTGCCACACCAAAAAAAAAAAAAAAAAAGATAAAAAAATATTAGTAATTTCTAAAATATGAGTGAGAATTCAGTATTTTTGACAATATATCTCTAATTTGCCTATTTTGAAAAGTCACAATTTTAACCAAAAAGGCACTACAAAAAGTCAAGTTAATGTAGGATAACATGTGCATAGCATATGATATTTAGTGAATGAAAAATTGTAGCCTAACTAACTATTAGATAGAAAACATTCATTGGAGATGAAAGTGTGGATGAAAATGGAAGTAGTATAATAATTTCATTTTGGTATTAAAGAATGTTTAGGTTTTTTTTTCTTTTTTCTTTTTTCCGTTAGGCCAATTGCCACACAAAAAAAAAAAAAAAAAAAGATAAAAAAATATTAGTAATTTCTAAAATATGAGTGAGAATTCAGTATTTTTGACAATATATCTCTAATTTGCCTATTTTGAAAAGTCACAATTTTAACCAAAAAGGCACTACAAAAAGTCAAGTTAATGTAGGATAACATATGCATAGCATGTGATATTTAGTGAATGAAAAATTGTAGCCTAACTAACTATTAGATATAAAACATTCATTGATTAAGATATTTCTCTCTTAATTCTCTTTTTAAATTCTCTCATTCTTGATTGGGCTCATCATCAAGAGCGTTCTCTCTACTATTTTATATGTGTTTTCATAAAAACCAAAAAGTCAATTCCCAAAACAACCCTTACCCGCAATTTTCCTTAACAAAATACTTGACCTTCTCATGATGTGGAAGAAGTGTTCATTTACGTTAAAAAACAGGTAACAAACAACCCAGCCTTCCACACAAAATATGCATCAAAAGTCAAAATTTGGTAGAACAGTGACTTTTCTATCCCAAAAGCCCTGTACTAAACTCCCAAACCACACTGATCATGTCTCAAAATTCACATGTTTCATGATTTCCAACTAATCATGCAATTAGAAGTGTATTAGGGGCAAGAAAACATGGATTTTGGCACATGGGATTCCTGTCTAGCAACCTATGCGACATTACAGACTTTTATTCAAAAGACTAAACAATCTCAAAGCCAGTGAATTCAGTATGATGAGCTAAATCAGATTTTATGTTTTAGCTTCCATACCACTTAACCATGCCTAGGACAAACCATCATAAACTCCAGCAAATGAATCCAACAACAAAAATAATAAATTAAAGAAATAGTAAAAAGATAACAACAATATTTAATTAGAAAAATTTCCATACAGTTTCAATCAAAATAACATGTCTTATATTTTCATATTGAAGCCCACCACACAACCATGGCAAACGTTCCAATCATCAACACGAGGACAGGCGTGCAATCACTAAGACATAAGGTGATGAAGCGAATGCAAGACGAACCAGACGGATCAAGTCTTTAAGCGTATTGCATTCAGAAGATTTGCCATCACAAACTCATGAATAGTTCATTATAGCATTTTAAAAAATAATAATAATCACAGTAAGTTATTTATCAAAAAAATAAAATAATAATAATCACAGTAAGTTTCATCAGTAACCAAATTCACTTCAAAATGGGTCCATCAAATAGTTCATTATAGCATTTTAAAAATCCTACCCTGCACCAAAGCTTGATCTGGTGGCTATCACTCTGTCATAACAGGCTTATTTTCATTAGCCTTTGGCCTCTGTTCCTTGGGTTTCTGCTCCTCAGTTTTCCTAGATTTTCCAGCAAGTTAAATCCAAATGTTAGAAGCACATCAAAAATAAAAAATAAAAAAACAATACCAACAATATGAACAAATATACAATGCAGTCAATCAAAAGTGGTGGTTATCCAGCTGTGGTCAGCACCTGCAGAGAATTCAATTGAAACTGTAAGAGAGATCAATGCATGAATTTGGGTGTGATGATCCAAACCCTAACCTCCAGCAATGGGCTAAAAGATGATAGCGGCTGAGCATGCACCAACCAAAAATTCAAAAACAAAAAATGGAAAGCTAGCTGCAATGTTTAAAATGGGCCTGAAAGTAGGTATGATCAACTCTACTTCAGTCATCCAATGTCTGATTCATCAATTCTATATTGCTCTAACAGGCTTCATCAGATGTCCTTTCTGTTCATAAAAAAAAGGTTGGTTTGACAATTGCTTTTTTACTTATTTAGGATAAAGTTGCTGCTAAAAAAGCTGATGTGTCCGGTAAGAGCTAAAAAGTCTCTTAGCTGCTTCTTTCTTTTCAATTGTTAGCCTTGTAAGCCGAAAAACAAACTTTCTTTTTGGCTTAAATAGCCAAAAAGTGGCTTTTTAGTCGAAAAAACAGAGCCTTAATATGATGTTTACATGTTTAGGCAACGTATATGTGGAGTTCTCCCTCTAGACAGCTTTTTACTGTCTAACTGCTGACATTATTTGCATTGCATTGCTAAACCCAACAGGGATACAAGAATTTGGGGAATGTTCGTAAAACAAGGCCCTTGCCAGCAGCAGGTCATAAGGAAAGAGGGGGGAAAACACTACAAACCAAAATAAATTCCCATCAGTCATTCTAATATGAGGACATTTAAACCCTAGCTCACTCCTCCCTCTGTTCTAAATAACGATTATTTTATGAAATTGACTGATTTGTCTAATATTATACTAGAATCACGTTATAATTTACAAAAGAAAAGATAATTTGGAGAAAAGGAACACAATACTAAATAAAATGTCCCTCTAAAGCCAAGATATCGGGAAAAAAAAACTTATTTTGAATGTTATGACACCGAACAATAATGCAAGCACAATGACCAAATACCCATGAAATGCAAGTAAAATGCCATTCATTTGATAGTTAGTTACCTACAGAAGCCAAATAATTGAGGTGGAAGATAGTTCAAGAACTTAACATGGAAAATTCCAGAGCCATACAAGTTAATAAAGCATTATAGAAATAAACATAGCAATTTGACTGTGGGACAATGAGTATTAAAATATCTTCGTCACAAGAGCATCACAAGTTGCTAATGACCCACATCTATCTATGACATGGAATAAATATGTTATCAACACAAGTAATCACAGGCAACAAAGTACTTATTCATACAAGGGAAATCATAGGCCTCGTTTAGAAAAACTTATTTGCGGCGATTAGCTTAAAATTTAAAATCACATGCTAAAGTAATTGTACTTTGAAAAGGTAGGGGGTTCGACAAAAGGTTTAAGATTTTTAGCTTATTCGTTTTTTCAGCTCAAAAATATCTCAAAAGCCTAACACTGACTTTAAGCCTCTCACACTTTTGGTTTGGTTTGGTTTTATATTACTTATTCATACTCTAAGCAGCACATATACGGACACGCAACACGACGCAGGCATGCCAATACATGGACTTTCAAAAAAATGATGGACACAACACATTTGGGACACTTGAAAATTTTATTATATATATGTGAATAGTTTATTCAAAGATAATGAAAAATATGTAACATAACACTAATTATATTAAAATTTTATAAATTTCATAACCTAAACATCAAGATATCATTCACGGAACAATTACATTCTAAATAATACAAAACAATTATAAAACGTTGTATTATATATATAACATATTTATCTTATAAATGTTTCAAATCATGTTTAGAGTGCAAAAGTTGTGTTTGTGTTATGAAGAATGTAAAATATTGTTCTTATGAAGGGATGAATGTGTTCGGAGGGTTCAAGAAATGTCGCTGAAGTATTGATAAAGCGTAATGAATTTAAATTTTTTATTAAAACACATTGAAGAAGTGTCCGATACGCTTTTAGGATTGTCCAAACAGTGTGTCGGTGTCCAACACAACACTCTTCCTCGACACAAGTATTTGTGCTTCTTAGTCCATACTACGGCCTTGTTTGGGAATTGATTTTTTTAGTGGTTTTTTTAACTTTTTGGCTTTTTTATGAGGTAGAAAAGAATTAATTTGTTTGGGAATGCCTAGCAGGTCCTTCGTTGCATGAAGCAGGGGCGGAGGAGGGATATAAAAGTATCTAAGTTTGGGAGCGTCTTTAGGAGCATGTTTTTATTTCTATGAAGCACCGACACTTCAAAACAAGTGTCGTATCAGTGTCGGACACACGGACACTTCGGGGACACACGGACACTTCAGGGACACACCCCTTATTTAATTAATTTATTTTCAGGGGACACGCCGGGGACACTTCGGGGACACACTAGATACATGCTAACTTTTCTTTTCCCCCATTTTTTTTAGTACTTTTGATAAATGTTGAATGTTTATTATTTTTTTCTCAAATTTAATACTTAATAGATCATCTATAAAAAAAATATATAAACGGTAATTGTTAATTTATTTAATTTTTTTAAAAAAACAAAATAAAATATAAAATTAGAGTTAGTTTTTGTTAATATTGATTGTTTGTGGATGTAATCTTAATCTAGATAGCAAATGAAAATATATGAAAACATATTTTATTGTTGTATCCGTGTCCCCATTTTTTTGAAATTGCCGTGTTCGTGGTTTGCATCTGTGTCCATGTCGTGTCGTGTCCATATCTGTATCGTGTCCATATCCATGCTTCTTGGTTTTATTTTATCTATTAAATATGTTAATACATTCTAATAATTATGTTTTTCAACTTAATTGTAATATATGTGTTAAATTACGAATAAATATTAGAGATTGATGTCAATATAAATAAATACAATTTAAATAGAAAGTAGTAGAAAAAGTTTGAATTGTTTTTCTTTTGTTCATTTCAGATTTGTTCGTTTGAAAGGTTCTATTTCAGTTGGGAGCGACTTTCCTCCTCAACGAGAGCAAGTTTGAATCAAGTTTCTACATTGGAAAACGTCGTCCAAGTAGGAGTTCCCTGCTAGCCAGTCAAACACAAATTTTCCATTTTTAAGTTTCCAAGCAGGACGAGAAAACCCCAAAGCATTATATTTTGCTACAAATTTGAAGGAAGTATCATAAACAAATACAATGGCGCAAATTTTACAGATGAATTTTATTTCATCTAACTGTTTGCATCCCGATAAAGCAGGTTTGAGTCACAAAAATAGTCTACCCATAAATGGAAGTAATTGTGCACATCTTGTCCTCCCTGAACCCAACTTTAGCCAAAAAAATAAAATGTAGAGACTGCATGTTATTAAAAATGACATTGTTGTTAATAGTTTCTTTTTTTTATACAAGGAAATCCTCACATCATCCCGCAGGTCCAAGGTAGCAACCGTGTCAAGATCCCCAAAGTGTCCAGTTGGCCGTTCCGGATGAGAGACTATAAATTGGGAGCTTGCACCAACCTCTCAACACAAGCCCCATTTAAGTCAAGACTCGCGCTACCACCCAGGGGTTTTAATATTTTTAATCATCTTTCTACTGCATGGATTGAATACAATTACATAAATTGACTAAAAAATCAGCTGACGAAAGTTTTAACCGGCACCAGATCTAAATTAAAGTTTTAACAAGGCCAGTTGAATCAAACTTGATCATTCAATATTGCGAGGCTTAGATTATCAAGCATTACATACAATCCCATGATTGGAAATTGCAAGATTTAAACTTTTCCAAATATAACCAAGGCTAGTTGAATCAAACTTTATCAATTTATATTGCGAGGCTTAGATTATCAAGCATTACATAAAACCCTTGATTGGAGATTGCAAGATTTAAACAAACCCACAACCAAAAACATTAAAAAAAATTGAAACCCAACGACACAAAATCAAAAATGCATAGATAAAGGGGGGAAAAAAGAGTACCTCTTGTCAGAGGAACCTCCCTTCTGGCTAAGGAAGGACCTGAAAAGCGGTGAGTTAACGTCGTAGATCATTTGTGTTTTTTTGTTTTATTGGTCTTTTGATTTGCAACAATACCAATATCAAAGCTTCAATGGAACCTGAAAGTTCCTGTCCCTGTCCCCTGCCAATTCTTAAATCAAACGCTAATTGAATCTTCTCTGGCAGCTTCCACAACCTACGAAAAGCTCAAGCGCCCGTTTGTTTTAAGGGTGAATGGATGGGATTTGCGAGATTGTTAGTAAGCGAATTGATAGGGAAGGAATTTATACGGCTCTAAATCTTTTATTAAATAAATTATTAAAGATTTTTTAATTATTTATGTGGTAGAAAATTTAATATCATGTATTATCTTAAAATAATAAAATAAATAAAAAATATTAAATGTTAAATATTAATCTATAAAAAAACATCTAACAAGTAAAAAATAAAAAAATAAAATAAAATAAAATAAATAAAATTATGATTTTTACTTAATAAAAAATATAAAAAATTAAATATTAATGTTTAAAAAAAATACTCAACATGTAAAAAATAAAAAATAAAAAATAGTTCGACGGATTATTTTCTAATACCAAGTCTCAAGCCTCCATCTTAATTCCTTCTCCAAAGCCCATCTTAATCCGAAGGGGATTATGAATCCCCTTTTTATCTCCCAAAACAAACCCAACATTAGTAGGTCTCACCTCCATTTCAATCCCAATCTCCCTTCTATCTCCCAAAACAAACGGGTAGATGATGATACAGTGTCGATGGTGGTTTTTGTCTTGTTTGAGAAGTTGGCTATTTTAGTGGATTATTTTAATTTATAATTATTTTAATAAGTTAAAATTTTTGTATTTGAAAAGATGATTAAATTTTTTTTGTAGTTTGATATGATATTTTTGAAAGAAAAAGTAAAATAATTATGAATTTAATGTGATATTTTGTCTTATTAACTATTTTAGTCTATTTCGCCTGTTCATAAATTTTACCCAAAAAAAGTTAAAAACTCACTTGCCAAATGGTACCGGATCGGATTGGACAATTCATTAGCCTGACGAAATTATCCGACTCCATTATACTTGTCCCATCTGATTTTAATTAAAAATATTTGGGATATCATTCGTAGGGTAAGATAAATTATAGATATATAAAGCTCAAAGTTGTCAAAAATAGAGTAAGGCATGGAAGTATATCGGGTGCCTTTAAAGAGTAATGTTAGGGAATACGAAACACTTTATGACATTTTTTTTATTATCCCTAGCATTACTCGCCTAAAAATACACCACAATTGTTTAGTTTGACACCCTAATTTTTTCAATACCATTTTATCCAATCTCTCCCGCCACACCCTAGCCCTTCTATCGCCCTCCTATGCCACCCCTGGCCCTTTCCTACCCTTTGGCACCACTCACTAGTCCCTTCTCGCTGTTCACGATAGCCACTACATCACCGATAACCCCTACTTCTGCAACTTGCAAAATACCTCCCCAACCGCCCTTTACTTACCCTCTACTCGCATAACCCAAACCTTCATCCGTTACCGCAACATTCCTCCTTGTCGTCGCTGTTTTTTTTTTCTTCCTCCTCCACTCTAAAACCATAAATTTCAGACCTAAAAATTCCTCAACTAGCCTATCCGCCGTAAGCCTCTTCCTATCACTTATATGTTCTTGTCATGGCCTCTTATTCCTTCTTCTCCTCCTTAAAACCCTAGATTTCAAATCTAGGATTTCGATAGAGTAGAAGAATGAGGAGAAAAAAAAAGGTGGAAAAGAAAAAGAAGACGAAGAAGAAAGATGAAATGGAGGAAAAAGAAGAGAAAGAGAAAGAAGAAGGTAAGAGAAGATTTGGGAGAGGTAGTGGCGAAGGTGTAACTCTGGCAGAAAGGAAATGCGGGTGTTAGGAGGTGGCAGCGAAGGTGTGCTACTACGGTGACAGAGATGATTCCTTCAACAAGTGGCTAGGGGGTAAAAATGGAATTAATGTGATGTTTTGGGGTGTTCAACAAAAAAATTTAAAATTGTTTGAGTATTCAAAGTAATTGGGTGCTCAACCTAATTTTTGGGTACATTTAGACCCCCCGAAATGTATCAATAAAATAATTGAATTTGAAATTAAAAATTTGTACGTGAAACATGAAAAAATCCAACATGTTGCCATTGAAATTAAAAATTTGTACGTGAAACATGAAAAAATCCAACATGTTGCCATCCTGCATTTAGGAGTGTAAAAATGACCTGCGGCCCGGGGTGGGCCTAGCTTGTTTGGGCCCAGGCTCGAGCCCCTACGCCTGGACCTGTGCCATCATTTTAAAGCCCAGCTCGGCTCGTAGCTCAACCCATCGGTCCGCTTAAAGCCCACTCAAGGCCCGACCTGAAACCCGCCTCGCCCAAGGCCTAGTGTCTTTTATAGCGAAAAATAATAAAATTTTGGTAGAAAAAATTTAAAAAAACAAACAAATTGCTCAGGCCCGCCCAAGCCCGAGACCAAGCTCAAGCCCAGGCCCACCCAAGGCTCGAATACCCCTAGGCCTGGGCCTAATTTTTTGGCCTGTGGCCTGGCCCGGCCTAGCCCAAATTTTTGCAGGAGCCTGCGATGCCCGATATGGATCGGGCTGGGCCGGACTGGGCCAAATTTACACCCGTACCCGTACCTGCACCTCAATCTTCTTTTTAGGATAATTATCCTCAAGCACTGTTAATTGGACTTATTTCATTGTAAATCCTGAGTAATTTTTTATTTTTTTTTATACTTATTTGTCATTCATTTTGATAATAATTTTTTAAAAACATTTTAGATGTGTTTTATGTTTATGAAATAATCGTTTGGTACTGGTAATAATGCTGAGAAATATATCAAGTAATAAATGATTTGAACATTTTGACTTTCCTTTGTGAGTTTTTAATTTATGTTAAACATGATGTAAGAAAGGTAAGTAATTGACTTAGATTTTTAAAAAATATGTTTTTAATTTATGTTAACACATGATGTAAGAAGGGTAAGCAATTGACTTATATTTTAAAGAAATATGTTTACAATGATCAACTAGCATAAAACCTGTACTAGGGGAGAGTCAAAAATTTATTTATAAATTAAAAAATAACAAAACCTTTTTAAGATTTTATTTTTTTAAATCCTAATTTACATTTTTATTTATTTTTGATATTTTATTAAAATATTTAAATTTATTATAAAACTAAAATTTGAAAGTGAGAAAGAAATGGGATTTTAGTTGTGGTATGAACCTAGCAAGTCCTCATCCAAAATAATAGGCTCATGTTTCTGATTTTACCTTCATAACTAAACCAATTCACAATTTGTAATGTTTTAGTAACTAATCTGACGCTTATCATCAAATGGTGTCATTTCAAATACAAGAATTTTTATTGTTGTATACGAGAATTTTTATTATTATATTCTATAACAATAAGTGAAAAGAAAAAAGTATTTATATATAAGTGCTAATTTACGAATGTATATTTTATTAACTATTAACTAGGATTTTTTAGATTTTAAAGTCTCATTAAAATTTTAATAGTCAGAATAGCCCTTCAAATAATGATTGTTTATCATTTATGTTATCTATAAAAGAATATGATGATTTGACATTTATTTTGATTTTAAAACTTATTAACTTTCAAATTGAAAAAACTTTTAAAAAATTATGTGAAAAAAAAAGTTTATTCAGTGTGTTTGGTTTCAGTTTTCTGAAAATTGAGTTTTTTATTTTTCATGTTTTATTTTTTTGTTTTTAGTGAATATTTTTAAAAAATTTTATGCAATTTTTTTTAGTTTTTTAGATGCACCTTACTTAGATGTATCTAAATAGTAAAATATTTGTGAAAAGATATTTTAAAAAATTAATAAATACACAAAATACGAAAAATGTACCGAATTTTTGTATTATTTTTTTTTGAAAAAATTAGTTTAAGGTCCCTCTCTCATTTTTTGGTAATGGAAGAGATCCACAATATTTTTTTATGATGTTTAAGGTCCCTTCCCATATATCACAAAGAAATTTAACTCTCCAAAATCAAACTCATTTCTCCCTCTCTATTTCGTCTCTCTCTTTCTCCAGGAGTTGGGACTTCGAGCTCTACCTTTGGGACCTCTCCATCGACATCACTGCTTGCCGCTTCATCAGCCACTCCAAAGACGTCTGACAGAAGAAGAAACAACCACAGAGAGGCATGGGTGTGGCTCAGCTCGAAGGTTTTTCCCTCCCTGTTTTGGGAATTTGTCGATCATGGCTGGTTGTGTTTAGGTAGATGAAGATGAAGCGTGGCTCTTCGTGTTTACCGGTGGTGAGTACATCTCCTGGGGTGTAGTTGGTTGCCGGCATTGATTCTCTGTTAGGAATGGAGTGTTGATGCTATTTTTGGGGCTTTGATGGTTTATGCATGGGAGTTTTGGCCATGGCGTCACGTTCCAAATTTGGCGCTGATGATTTAGAGATGGTGAGATGAACGTCATGCTCATGTGGCGTGTGAGTCTTGGGGTGCTTTTGCGTGAACTCATGTACCTTTTCCCGCTGAAGCGTGTTGATGGTTATGATGCAATACAGTGTTTTGTCTGCCTATCCATCATTCAAATCCCATGGATGGACATCAATCTGAAGTGAGTTTTTGAGGAAATCATGCAAGGGAAATTTCTTTGGGTTTTTTGTGAATTTCTCTGGGTTGAAAGGGAATTTTCTCTGAGTTTTTGTGAATTTTTCAAAGTTGGAAGGGAATTTTTTCTAAGTTTTTGTGAATTTCTTTGAGTTAGAAGGGAATTTTCCTTGAGTTTTTGTGAATTTCTCTAGGTTAGAAGGGAATTTTCTCTGAGTTTTTGTGAATTTCTCTGGGTTGGAAGGGAATTTTCTCTAAGTTTTTGTGAATTATTGTGAATTTCTCTAAGTTGGAAGGGAATTTTCTCTGAGTTTTTGTGAATTTCTTTGAGTTTGAAGGAAATTTTCTCTTAGTTTTTGTGAATTTCTCTGGATTGGAAGGGAATTTCTCTGAATTAAGAGAATTTCTCTGGGTTGAAGTGAGTCTAAAGAAATTCTGGTAAGATTTTTTCTATGAAGCCGAATTTTCTCTAGATCAATTTGAGAGACCTTAGACATTATTAAAATATTGAATGTCTTTTATACTATAAAATCCTAATATCAGGGACCTTAAAAAAAAATTTGTATTTTTGATATTTAATGAATTTTTTAAAGATTTTTTCACAAAAATTATACTTTTTAAGTATATTTATGTTAGGTGTGTCTAAACGTTAAA